CAGTACCGCCACCTTCTGCTCTTGAGTGTAAACGCTTCGCCTATGAGAAAAAGGAGCAGCGCATGAACCGAACGAAACACACACGAACCGAACCGAGACAGTCGAACCGAACGGTTCTGACGGTTTTCATAAATCGTCCCATCCCTAATATATATATATATATATATATATATATATATATACATATATATATATATATTTAAAAAAACAATGCTCAGAGAAACAAAAAATATATTCACGCTCTAGAAATGCAGCAGAGATCCACAGTGCAAGTGTGTATCTTACAGTAGGGCAGCCATAAGCTGTGGCATAGCTTGTTGAAAATCTACAGCAACATATCTCCCTTAACACACCATGAAACATGTTAGTTACAGCATCATGTTGTGAAGATGTTTTACGCAAAATGGATGGAGTACCAGAGTAAATCCATAGATTAGTGGAGCTTAAAACAGGGTAATTCTAGGAGAAAACTTTTTATTGTCTGCAAATGAAATATGACAAGGAGGAAGGTTTACTTTCCAGAAGGACCTTCGCCCGAAATATCCAGCCAGAGCTGCAGTGGAATAGATTGAAATATTTTCTATGTATTAGAGTGGAATAATAACACCTCAGACATATACAATTTAGTTTCTGGTGCAATAAAACACAAATCTCTTTATAGATGCTATTTTTTCAATTCAACTAAGCTTCAGCTTTTTGCCCAGGCAAATTGGCAAAAAAATGTTCTAAGCTGTTATAGACATAAACCCAAAACATTGTAGCTGCAATTACAGCAGTAAATTGTTCTGCACAGTATTGACTGAATAAATACTGCTGAAGGCGCATCATTTTTTTGTATTTGTGAAGCATTTTTGTAACAGCAGCCATCCTTTTCTGTTTTATTTAAAAATAATACACTACTTTATGTTGGTCTTTTCCATAAATCAAAATAAAGTATAACATATTGTGAACGGGTTGAAAGAGCAGGAATACTTTTACTAGGGGGGCCATGCTTGGAATGCAAATAAAAATCATGTGAGGTTCATTCTTATCTTCAAACATAATTATTGTGTTTTTTCCTCCCCTCTCCTTTTCATGCTGCAGCTGCAGTCAATCCTCCGTGTGAATGTGAGCCAGGTGCAGGTAGATGAGTGTGTGCGCACTGACTGTAAGACATCCGGCGGCTGCTACACACAGTTAAGCGTCAGTGACTCACCCGCCTTGATAGACTCTGGTGCTTTATCCCTGGCTTCAGTGAAAGTGACATCTTCAGCTGTGTGTGGCTGTGCTGCTAGAGAAATGACCCACCGGACGTGCTCCTCTTACCCAACTTACCCCTGCCTCAATGGAGGGACATGCTTCGACACACAAAATGGGTACAGGTGAGAGGCATAGCAGTTGTTAACTTTCAGGTGTAATTGACTCCTCAAAGAGGGCAAACATAAACTTAATTCACAGTCATTAGAAATAGTGTCAATAAAAATGGAATTCTCCTGAGCTACTCCAGCGTTGTAAGCTAAAATTTCTCTCCGTATATAGGGACCTCCGCTGTTATTAATCCTCCCAAGTAAGGAAGTATAACCAGCTTTAAAGTAAATGCATTTATATTAGAGCAGCACTGCTTCATGCTGAATGTTTACTTTAAAAAAAACAAAAAAACAATTCAGAGTAGAAAAAATAGCAAAACTTTAGAAAGTCAATTTCTACATGAAATTAGATATACCAAAAAACATCTGCTGCATATTCATTTTGGTTTGCTTGTAGGAAATGCTTAGTCTTTTACTATAACATTTAACAATTGTATGAATGAAATATTCACTGGTTATAATGATAAGTGTAATAATATGTGCTCTTGTCAGAAAGTCCAATGCAAAATTAAATTAAAGTAGATATTGCACTATTCAAAAGTTGTGCATCTCAGAGATTCAAACAGATATATTTCTAGAGACCACTAGGTTTTAAATATTGCTCTTATTTGGACATAAAATGCACAAAGAGGGCCTATTAAAGCTGAATTTGTTTGCACTACACAACAACGACTTTAGTAGTATACTGCTAGCACTGCTACTAGCTGCTCAGTGATAGGTGGACAGTAGGGTAATAGTCAGCTCAATGTTTGCAAATATTTCAAATTACTGGTTATTTTAGTTGTTTCTAACCCTATTCTATTTCCTGGACTTTCAGTTATGTATGGAATTGTCTGCTGATACTCAGCAAGACAGCCAAAACAAAATGACAGCTCCACCTAAAAACCTGTTAAATTGGATGACAGGTACTGTATATGCAGCATAACACACTAAATAATACGGTGCTACTGCTAGAAAAGGTTCTACTACTACTGTAGTGAATTTCCCTCAGCCTGTAATAATACTCTTTGAATGATTTTTCACATTTTAGATAAAACAAGATTATAATGATAATTTTGATGAATTTGCTCTCAGTAATCCTGGAACTAAATATTTATCTGATTATATGCCTTGATTTTAGCGTGCTTGGGAGGATCTTTGACCATTCTGATTAGCATTGCCTCTTTAACTTGCCCAGAGCCCTCTTTATCTCCAATGGAGGATCAGCGAATCCCAGACAGATATTCTAAATCCTACTTTAACTAACGGACCGAATGACAATCCATGTTTTGTTTTCTCACATAGATCCTAATATTTTTATTTGAAATAATTGTATTACTCAAGGAGATCAGTCTTTCATTTGCATTAACACTTTTTTCCAGGACACTTGAAGGAAATTAAAGGCACACAGTATCACAGATCCTTAATCAAAATAAATAATTTGTGTGTTTTTTATATATTGATCATTTCATTACACCTGACTCCTTTTAATTAATAACTGATCAACAAGCTCAGTTTTAAACTCATCTGATCAAAGTCTCTGTAGTCTATAGCAAAACTTGACAGGTTTGTCAAAGCGATACTTGGAATAGCTTTTTTTACCAGCATGTCTTCCAAAACACCAGTCAGTGTGTTGATAGTGCCACTTGATGGCTTTATGATACCACTTTTTGGTTGCAGTTTTTTTAATTTTCATATTTTTATAAGAGGTAAAATAAATATGTTTTTTTGTTAAGTTAATACTTTTATCCCTTGGGGAACCAGGAGATCATTAGTCTACTGTTTATACCCATTAAATCCATGCAGAGCTGTAGTCAGCCTTGTGGCTATATGTCGTGATCATTGAACAGCCTGGGAGGCGCACCCTTCACAAGACAACACGGAGGCACACAGCGCAAAAGAGCAAAATCACGACTAGATCTAAAGGCAACAGTTACAACATATGTGTTTGAACTGTAAGAGAAGGCTGCAAATAGGCCCCAATAGATCCAATGCGGCCATTGGAGAATGAACTTCATTTGTAGATAAAAACGAAAACTTCTTTAGAAAGGCCCCAACTGAAATTCAAAAATTAGGACTACTTTCCAGCAAGGCAGCAGCACAAAAAACATACCAATTGAATACCAATTCAAAGTTCCTTAAAAACTTTGAAAAGTCAAACAAGAATTTATCGTTCATTTTAGATTGTTGTTTTAGAATTGTCAGGAGTACAGATGGTGGTTTAAATGATTTTAAAGCATTTTATCTTAACTTTTTTCCACACTAAAAATGTATCCAAAAAAAAAAAAATGAGTTTTAGAAACTGATAAGGAAAATTTTATTCAAAGACTTTTGTTTTGATGGACGGTGTTAGATGTCTTTTTAAATTTATTTTATAGTATGCAATAAACACATGTAATCACAGACTCTTTATCGGGAACAATTTAGCAGTTTTAGGTTGGCCCCTGTTTGACTTCAAAATCCATCATTTTGATCCAGTCTGCCGGAGATTCACAGACATCTAACACCAACAAGTTGTTTCCTTCCCCAGGCCAATCCTTACTGGAAGATTTATCTTTTGAACCATTCTCTTAGAAAAGCAGAGAGATGTTTGTGTTAAATTTCCAGCAGATCCCCAGTTTCCAAAGTACCAATACCAGCCTGTCTAACACCAACAACATGCCACATTTTAGGTCCCTTAAATGTGGCAGAGACTCACTGTAGCAGAGTAGCCACAGTATGGCAGAGTGGCACTGCTGCCTTGCAGCAAGAAGGTTCTGGGTTTGATTCCCGGCCTGGGGTCTTTCTGCATGGAGTTTGCATGTTCTCCCTGAGCATGCGTGGGTTCTCTCCGGGTACTCTGGCTTCCTCCCAGTCCAAAATCATGACTCTTAGGTTAATTGGCTTCTCTAAATTCTCCTTAGGTATGAATGGTTGTTTGTCCTGTTTGCGTTGCCCAGCGATGGACGGGCGACCTGTCCAGGGTGTACCCCACCTTTCGCCCGTAGACAGCTGGAGATAGGCACCAGCACTCCGTGTGACCCTGCTTGGGATAACCGTGACGGAAAATGGATGGATAAATCCACCTCGCTTTCGTATTCTAAGGCTCATTTTGAAGTTCAGCAATATTTTTCACCACATCTGCATGCCTTTAATGTACAGCGTTGCTGCTATATTTTCTATTTGTGTTAACAGTTAAATCCTCAAGCATCGAAGTGACCAGTTAGTGCATTTTCCAGTGCTTTAGATAATCTTGACCATGGAATAATTCTTCCAGTTATAAAAGATCTCCAACTCAGACTTAAAAAAAAACTCAATGGGAGCCTTTGGAAAAAAGAAATGCATGCATTTTATTCCATACTCTTTTCATCACATTCTAATGCTCAGATTAAATAAATATAGGGCAAAGGGATTATTTAAACATATCCGCCACTTTTCTTTGATCACAAAAAAACTCTACATGCCAACTCTGAGAATGTGTAAAAAAGGTCAGAGGTTGAATCTGCATGACAATAGCTTGTTTTTCATTATATTTCAAATTGTCTGCATCTATTAAAAATAAAACATCCTGTTCTCTATGAGACACATCTCCACCACAGAAACACTACATGTGGCCTCAGATGAGTTTCAATCCATCCATAAAGAATCTAATTTTTCCTCCTGTCCTCTGTTGAGGGAGCTTAACAGGAGACCTCAGGGAGGAGCTAATCAGATATTGTCAGTCAGAAGTGAGAATAACAGGCCATGCCCTTCCTGATTTGGGCTGCCATTGCTCTCATGAGTCACATGAAAGAACAGTGAAAGATTGAGGTGCTCTTTCACCGCTTATCAGAAGCATATGTATGCAGAAGGCTACCCATCAGGCTAAGCTGCCTCTTTTGCCTGCATATGGATCAGTATTCCTCCCATGTGTTGCCTTTCTGCACTATAAACAGCAATGTTAGAATCAGCCCGTTACAGCCTCAGTACACACAGCCTTCTTTAGACACTGCATGAAAATAGATGGCTTTGACATTATCAGCAGAGCCAGCTTGTCTCACATGCCTGCAGTAGAGAGGACAGGCTGAGATCAACCAATCCCCTCAATCCTCTCCATCGCTGTGATTGAAAGGGCTGCTTTTCATCACTACATGCATCTCTTTGTTTTGTGGCCTTTTTTGTTTATTAAAATTCATCACGAGACTGTTGCTCCAACAAGTTCAGTAGTCTCATGTTAAATTTCTAGTTTGTCCTGGTGTGGTGATCCATTGCAGTCAAGTAGATAAGCATAAAAAGACCCAAGCGGCTAATGTGTGTAGCAGCCTAAGTGTGAGCAGAGGGCAGTTCATAAGAGTTAGGGAAAAAAGCTTCTGAAAATAAAATCAGTGATGGTTCAACAAATAGTCAAGTGAGAAAAATATATTTAATTACCTCGTAACAAAGGGAACGAGATTTGCTGTGCCTGAACTGTCTTCAGGGAATTCAGCTCAGACAGCTGTTATAGATAAATAACAGAACAGGGTTATGTTGTGTTCAGAACTAATTGATTAAATGTAGAACTGAATATTCAGGGCTTTGTCGCTAATGCAAACAATTGATACATAAAAGTGCTCTGCTCGTTGTCTGTTGACAGGCAGCATGTTCAAACACAGTCAGACATCTCTGCTTGCATGAATCAACAAGACTGTCACGTAGGAAAGAGACAATGCGAAGACTTCTCTGAGCGTCAAACTGAATGACACTGATTGTTTCTTTCCACTTGTTTTGTCCTGATTTTTCCACACATTTTCGTTTCTCTGTGCTACAGGTGCCACTGCCCCCCACAGCTCGAAGGGCCAGACTGTCAGCAGACGAGACTTAGTTTCCTTGGTAACGGCTATGCCTGGTTTCCTCCCATAAGGCCATGCTTTGATAGCCATCTTTCACTCGAGTTTATGACAGAGGAAGAAGACGGACTGCTTCTGTATGCAGGCCCTTTGGCCACTCTTTTACCGGGGGATAATGAAGACTACATCGCCATAGGTAAAAAAAAGAAAACATCATAAAATAAAGTCTTTGTAATCAGATGTAAGCTGTTGGGCTTCTAGGCTCTAAACCGTTGAACTCAATAGTGTGTGTTATTTACTGAAAGATAGCTAATTAGGAGCAAATTTTATTTTTACTTCTAAGACATATGTGTTCTCAATCAACAGAGTTGTCTTGCTTTCAACTTACTATGAGGTCTTAATGACCCAACACTATTAATGTGTGCAATGCTTTTTCATCAGTGAGTTCAGTCAATATCATACCAGCAATTAAACATCAGAAAAGCTTGGATTAATTTGCTGTCAGACTGAACATCTACAGTACTTTCTCACCAGTTATTACTAAGAATGAAAGGTAGCTTGTTTCTAGTGTGTGAATAATAAAAAGTATACTATTGTAGGTATGTTAGAAGTCTTACCTTTGCAGTGGCTTTGGTCAGTTTGAATTATCAGTGTTCAAAAGGGTCAGCTCGCCCCTTCACCAAATTATACCTCGCCTTCCTGCACGTGTATTTATTTTTCATCCCATCTTGTTTCCCTACCTTTGAGTAAACCTCTCTGTAGTCAGGTATTTCTCAGATATTAATATAAATATTTGTTTAAAATGCCTGTGTTATTTTGTGGAATACTTTTTATAAACTTTTTTTATCCCACACTACTTACATTTTTTCATCTGATCCCAGTTAAATTAATTTAGCTCATAAGACTGAGGATAAATAATGACCCATAAAAAAAAGTCAACATCCGGCTGGTAGATATTATTTAGGGTGTCAATCAATTCCCTTACTCACCAGGTTTCCTCACTCACCATATTACTTTTGGTTGTTTTGCAGCTGACTGTTTAAGGTACAAAATGCTGATGTCTACTGTGGAACATTTTGTACTAAACATACCGTCACCAGCCCACACACTCCAACATCCACTCCTAGTCTACTGTAAGAGTGAATTATATCTACTAGCACAAAGTCACAAAAGTAATTTTAGTTAGATCCCAGGGCACAATTAGGTTTTAAGTCAGAGATTGGAAACTGGAAATAAGGTATACAACATATTTTCCAGGTATTAATTCAGTTCAATTCAGTTTATTTATATAGCGCCAATTCACAACACATGTCTTTTCAAGTCACTTCATAGAGACAACTAAACCAGAAGCATCACTGGTGGCATCATTGATATATATATATACATATATATATATATATATATATATATATATATATATATATATATATATATATATGTAGACATGTATGTACATTAACTGAAAAAATAACTGACACACCAGGGTTTGCAAAAAAGGTCCAGAAAGGTTTATTTAATGGTGCAAAATGAAAGTAGAAAAAAGGAAAAAAGATGGGTTGATGTAAAAGGGGGGCACAAATTGACAAACAATTATTTTACCCAGTTTATTCATTCAGTCTATTTATTCATGCTTTTAATTTATATTCACCGACAGCATATTAGGAGTAGATTACAGAGAATGTTTGGAACAGGTACAGATTAACATTACCCTGTATGAAAACTTTGGATCTAAAAAGTGTATTTTTCTTTGTTTTCAGCAGTACCACACAAAATATTGGTTAGCATCAAGGAAATACTTTTTTTCAGCCACAGCTTACATTTTCTGGAATATTAATAAACTAAAGCAGCTATTGCTTGAACTGCTAAAATCGTTTGGACCTACATTTTTTTAGAAAACACAAGTGCTATTAATTGTTATTTAGTGTTATTAATTCAATTCAAACTAACCAGTGATGTCCAACTGAGTTTCAGCATGATTGTTGTGTCTGTTTGTTGTATCTCAAGATTTTTTATTTTTTATTAGTTTAAGGAGGCAGCCGTGCTGTAATGCAAAACAAATTGCTGACTCTTATGTTAATACGTAAACGTCATGTTTTATCTATCTCTACAAAAGCATAGGCTTTGGCAATTTAATTCACTGAAGCCTGAAGCTCTTTTAAATCATTGCCAAGGTGGAATAGCTTCAGCAGAGATCTCAAGGAAATCTGAAATCCATCACATGAGAGTTGTTGCAATTTCAAAACTATTTTGAATTGATCTTGGCACAGTGAGAGAAGTCCTATAGAAGTTGGGAAAATCTGAGGCAGGGGCTAAAATTGGCAGGAGTGGTTCTGAGCATTTGCAGGTTAGACCATGAAATGGTTAGAGAAATTGCAAACCTCAAGAGCTAGTGTAAGGTTTCAATTAGGAAGTTAAGAGTTAAAGTTCTTGAAAGTGCAAGACCGCTGGGTCAGAAAAAGAAACTTCAATGAAAACAAAGATCATTGGGAAAAACATGGGGGGGCAAAAAGTTTCCAGGAAGAACAGGATTAAGTTTTAAGAGTCAAGAAAAGCACTTTTGCTTTGCATTGCTAATAAACTACCTTATCTTAGAGTTATCACATAGATTAGGTTATGCTTTATATTTTTGGTAAAATTATATTGGATAATGACATATTTACCATATTTTACAAAGTTGGCACAACTTCAAAGAAGCATTGCATCGTCAATGACACACTTTGGTCAAAAAAAATATATAGCTCCTTTTATTTCAGATGGGGCTTCTCTTTTTTCTATTGAAACCATTAACACAGAAAATAAACTTGGAACCCGTTGAGACATATTGTTACTGTATGAGGATTTAAGTTTCCCCTAGTAAAAACAGTACATTAGAAAGCTTGCTATACAAACTCTGTCCTTTTTCAAACTGATTCCAGCTGAACTTTTATTTACTTTTATTATAGTGCTGGCAATAATATCAACGGAAAGTTTCATAATAGTGAAATTAAAGCTTTTAGCTTGTTTCTGGAAGAAAATAAGGAAACAGTAAGGCAAGGCAAGCATTCTTATATAGCTGAAGTGCTGTAGATGAGAATAAGAACAAAAGTAAATTGCAATCATAGCAAAAATAAATAGAATAAGTTTATTATATTTAGAAAAGACAAAATTATTTGTAAATAACAAAATAGAAAAGTTGTAGTGAAAACTATTTATATTTTTATAGCACAGTCAAAGGCCAGGAAAGATGTTTTTAATCCCAAATTAAAGAAATATAGGGAATAAGTGTTTTTACAGTTTCATTAGAGTTTATTTTAGCATAGTGAAGTATACAAAAGCAAAGCTGATTGATTCTGTTTCTCAATATGCAGATTATATTTGAGTTAAAAGACTTATGAAGTTTGAGTGGTTGATAAAATGACAACAATTTAACCATTCAGCTAATTTAATCTAAAAGTATTTTAGATTCTATTTTCTTAGAAATGCTGAGCCAGTGTTACTACTGGGGAGAACTAGGATGAAATGTTCTCCTGTCTTAGTTTTGGTAACGAGACAGGCAGCAGCATTCTGAATCCACTGCAGCTGTCTGGTGGAGTTTGTTAGGCAGACCGGCAAAGGCACACAACTGCAGTAATCAAGTCTGCTAAAGACAAACCTATGAATTGGGATCGGGCAGCTACCAGAAGCATAGACCTTGGTGACCTGATCTGATACGTAAACTTCATTTGGGCACATCTAATGTTAATGTGCTGAGGCGAAAGGAGCCTGAGTGTGTGACGGAGGTGGAGTGATACCAGCTAGAAATAGTTGGACTTGCTTTCACGCATATCCTGGGATCTGGAACTCCTTGAGAGAGAGTGCACTGTCTTCTACTCTGGAGTTGCACATAAAGAGAGGCAGAAGGCTGAGATGGGTCTGCTTGTGTCCTCCAAGCTCAGCCATCTTGTGTTCGAGTTTCGGAATGAGAGGTTTGCATTCCTTCACATTCAGATGGGTGGGGCAGTATGGAGAACCATGTCTTCTTTGTGTCTAAGTTGAAATGCTGGAAAGCACCCCTCCTAGTTTTTATCGTTCTGTTGGGGAGCTTTAACCCCCATGTGGTAAACGATAGTAACACCCAGAGAGATGAGGAATGGACTCTGAGCCCTGAACTTTTAAATTGTTCATAAACAACACATTGCTCAGTCAAAAGAATATCAGTACACTTGACACAAAAGCAGACCAATGACAGAGAATTTGGCACCACTTTTTGCAGATGACAATGTTCTGCTCGGGCAATTTGCAGCCAAGTGCAAAGTGGTCAGGAAGAAGATCAGCTCCTCCAAGTCCAAGGTTATGGTTCTCTACTGGAGTAAGGTGGCTTGGTCTGTTCCGGTTGGAGGAGGGTTTCTGCCTCAAGTTCAAATAACTTGGGGTCCTGTTCATGAGTGAAGGGAGAACAGAGCAGGAGATCGATGGACTGATAAGTGCAGCTGAAGGAGATGTCTGGAGAGAGGAAAGTCTGCAAGTATCTGCTAATGCTGCGCCCTCTTTGA